GTAGGAAGGACGCTGACTTCGGCGCCTTTGTCGACTAGGCACCGGGTGTGGTTGACTAATTCTCAGATGTATAGTAGGCGGCTACTGCCACCGGCGACGGTCGCCGCTAACGCGTGCCAGGGAGATAGATTTCCATACTCCTCGAGACATTGTGAAAATTACAAGGTTTTCGGCAACATTTAGCTTCCTAGCCATAAGTATTGTGATACCAACACCAGTCAGTGTTATTAAGGGAACCTGGATTGGATTTTGACCGACAACGTGAGTTTCCCCGTTGAGGGGAGTTCGAAAAACGATAAGAGGAATTACGGGGATTATTTGACTTAAGTAGTTGCTGAGAGTTGCATAACTCTATCACTGCAGTTTCCCTACTCAGAGTCTGTTCAGCAATTGAGCACATTTCCGTGACTAGTCGTTGTGTTATTTCTAGAATTTTATAAGCAGAATTAGCTAAGTCGTCTATAATAACAGCTTGAAGTGTCACAAGCACAGCTTGTACTGACTGTGGCAATCTGGATAAGAACAACTCTCTGAAAAGTGCTCATCGAACTGACGTAGGTCAATAACTTTCTGCACTCTCGTTAGCATGTCCAAGGCCTACTGATCACTAAATTCAGTGCTGCGAAATAGTTCGTAAAGACACTACCGATCCATGAGGCCGTTTCTCTTCAGGGAGTTGCGCAAAGCAACTCATACGAGTTACTTACCCTTAAGCTTGAGATATGAACAATTACTCATTTGCTTAATTCTCGCTGTGGAGCGTGGACAACTGCAAAGAACTGCTAACGCTGGTCAGTGATCCAATGTTCACTGAAATCAGACTCTACTATTTGAAACCATGATTCCAAATTATCTCGCCAAAATGGCGCGAGCTGAATAGTTTTGCAAGTTGGTGGAATACGGATAACCTCAGGCGTGAAGTCACTCATGGCGAAATATATACACTTTAAAAATAGTACAAGAACTAATAAAAATGGAGTGAACTCAGTGGATTTGTCTGCGTGTTTACCAGATATAGAGTTCACGATAGGGCTCACCTGTTTGGAGGCTGAGTGTGTTGATTTTAACGAATAGTACGGTTTTTACTAATGCAGAATCCAATACCCACAACTTCTAGGTATTCGTTCCGCGTAGACCAAAGGCAAAGCAAAACAACAGAATTGATCGTCCAAATTACGAAGTATATTTAGGGACCAAATCGGAGTGTTTAGATGATTGCTTAACCAGCTAGGGATCGTGCACGGACGAATGAACGTAACACGACGGCGTGCCAAATAGCGTGGATGCTTGACCGTGAGCCTTCAGCTAAACAAATCGACTGAGACGGTGAGGGTCAGCATCCAATGTTCAGTGATGAATACTGTGGCGAATAATTCTGGGGAATTCCCTACCGCTACATCATGCACAATCTCAAAACTGTAGTGGCGGTTAAGTAGCAGTTCCTGTGAATACCTTGAGAATGGAAAATTTGCAGATCTAGCGTTATCCTACTCCATCTATTTATTTCCTCTATAAATGGTCAATTGAGAGCGCACCACCTTAATGTCCCGAAAAGACGGTTAAATCGTCTAGTTCGTTTCTTATGGAATTGTGCGCCAATGGAATAATTCACAGGATCACATAGTTTCATTCAAAGTGAGATTGAACCTTGGTTCAGTAAAGTTATCCTAATAATCGTGAAGTGTAAACCTCGCCTAGATTACTAGCTCACTAGTTTTCTAGCCGGTCCCAAGCCCGGATAAAGAGGGAGGGTTGGGGCGTGGTGCCAGCAACCCCAGCCCCAAAACTTAACCAAATTGCCACAGAAACTTCAACGCACAAATATATTAAAAACTCTAAAAACATAAACAATAACCTTATTTTTCGCTGGAATCGGAGAAGTGAAATGACGCGGGCTGGTAAAAGCCTTCGGAGAGCCAGTCAGCCGATATGCCTCCTTTCGATGAAAGCGAAAATAAGGATGGGGACGTGGAATGTTCTTACAATGAGCGAAGCTGGAAAGGCTGCCCAGGTAGCCGCAGAAATGAGAAGATATAAAGTAGAAGTGTTGGGAATCTGCGAGAGCAGATGGAACGGATGTGGAAGAAGCCAACTACCAACTGGAGACAATAATCTACTCCGGTCATCCAGAGGACAAACACGAGCAGACCGAGGGAGTAACCATCATGATGTCACCAACAGCAGCCAAAGCTCTCATGCGGTGGGAGCCAATCTCCTCCAGGATAATGACAGCCAGGTTCACCTCAAAAGGAAGGAAGGTTACAATCATTCAGTACTACGCGCCTACAAACGCCTCAGAACATGAGAAGAAGGAGGATTTCTACAGTCAACTACAAGCAGTAATGGACAACGTCCCAAAGGGCGATATCAAAATCCTGATGGATGATATGAATGCGAAGCTGGGAGGAGACAGTACAGGAAGAGAATTCACCATGGGTCGCGAGGCTCTCGGTGAAATGAACGGCAACGGTGAACTCTTCTCACACTTCTGTGCCTTCAATGATTTGGTGATTGGGGGCGGTATGTTCAAACACAGGGATATACACAAGGTGACATGGATTTCACCAGATGAACACACCAAAAATCAGATAGACTTCATTTCAATCTCAAGGAAGTGGAGACGGAGCCTACTGGACACAAGGTCGAGGAGAGGAGCAGATGTGGGTTCAGACCACTATCTAGTACAATGGACTTTCAAAGTGAAGCTAAAAGCCTTGAAGCTACCTGGGGATAGGCCACAATGCAAGTTCAACACTCAAAAACTGAATGACATAACCACAAGGGCACTTTCGCTGCAACTGTCAAAGCAAAGCAGGAAACACTACGTGGCATCACTGAGGAATCATGCGTGGAAGACCATTGGAACTCTCTGAAGGTGATTTTCAACGAAACGTGTTCAACGGTTTTAGGAAGAAAGAAGAAACAAGACAAGGAATGGCTCTCAACGGACACTTGGAAGCTAATAGAGGAAAGGTGAATGGTGAAAGAGAAAATGATTCAATGCAATGACGGACCAGAGAAGGAGACGCTGAGTTCAACTTACACGGCACTGGACGAAGAAGTGAAAAAGAGTGCCAGGAAGGACAAAAGACAATTCTACGACAACCTGGCCACTGAAGCTGAGAAGGCAGCAGGCAAAAGGGATCTGAGGACACTATATCAGATAACCAAGTCTCTATCCGGGAAGAGATCAACACAAGTGAAACCTATAAAAGACAGCCAAGGGAACCCAATTACCAAGGAAGAAAGACAGATTAAACAATGGGCAGACCACTTCAAAGGACTCTTGAACCGACCACCACCTACAACCTGTCCAGAAATACCAACAACAGCACGTACACAACTGCAAGTTGACAACAATCCTCCAACGAAAGCTGAAGTCTTGAATGCAATCAAGCTTCTGAAAGCTGGAAAAGCAGCTGGACCGGATGGAATACCCCCGGAAGCACTGAAAGCGGACCCAGAAACGACAGCAGATATGCTGACTCCATTATTGCAAAAGGTCTGGAAGGAGGGAAAGGTGCCTACTGACTGGAGGAAAGGTTATCTCGTGAAACTACCAAAGAAGGGCGACTTAGGACTCTGCAAGAACTGGCGAGGAATCATGCTCCTGTCGACGCCAAGTAAAATTCTGAGTCGCATCATCCTGGAGAGGATAAAGGACGCACTGGATGCAGAATTCCGACCAGAACAAGCTGGATTCAGGAAAGGCAAATCATGTTCTGACCAAATTGCAACTCTACGCATCATCATCGAACAAAGCATGGAATGGCAATCAAACATCTACCTCAACCTTATAGACCTTGAGAAGGCCTTCGACAGCGTTGACCGCGAAGTAATTTGGAAACTACTCAAGTACTACGGCGTACCCCAAATATTCATCAACTTTATTCAACAGCTGTACGACAACGGCGCATGTCAAGTGATCCACAACGGAAAACTCAGCGAGGCGTTTGGAGTAAACACAGGAGTCGGACAAGGGTGCTTATTATCACCAATGATATTCCTAATTGTGGTGGACGGGATTGTGTGTCAGACAGTGGGAAACGAGAAGACAGGGATATCCTAGACCGACGAGAAGAACCTAGAAGACCTGGATTTCGCGGATGATTTATGTTTGATGTCACACAAAATCGAAGACTTACAAGCGAAAACCAACAAACTGGTCGAAGAAGCAGCAAAGACAGGACTGCAGGTGAACATAGACAAGACGGAGGTTATGAAAATAACCAACCAACAACAGCAAGCAGCAGTACCATCCAGCGCCAATCACCATCAACGGGAGGGATTTGAAAGAGATTACTTCATTCACTTATCTAGGGAGCATTGTCTCAACTACAGGAGGAACGGACGAGGATGTCAAATACGAGAATCGGGAAGGCGAGAAACACATTCATCAACCTGAAACCAATCTGGAAATCTTCGTCATTCAGCATCAGCAACAAAATTCTGATTTTCAATACAAACGTCAAGTAGTCAGTTTTGCCATACGGATCAGAAACTTGACGGGTCGCAGCAGGTTGCAGACCTTTATCAACAGCTGTCTTCGTTCTATACTCAAGATCAGATGGCCGGAAAGAATCACCAACAAGAAACTATGGGAACAAACAAAACAAGAACCAATCGCCCAACAAATATGCAGGAGAAAGTGGAGATGGATCGGACACTCGCTGAGGAGGTCGCTGGGTGACATTGCGCGTCAGGCCAGTGCTCGAATGAAACCCGAAAGCGAAGCGGCGAGTGAGACGTCCAAGTGTGACATGGAGGAGATCGTGTGAAGAGGAGTTGAAACAGTATGGACTAACATGGATGCAAGTGAAAAGTACAGCAGAAGACAGAAGCAAGTGGAGAAGTGCAGTTGAAGCCCTATGTTCCACTAGGAACCCAAGGGAACAATAATAATATAATAAAATGTCCAATTGTAGGAGGATCGAGGAGCGGAGTATTCTAAGTAGACGTTACTTTCTCACGTTTGCCATTGGACGAGGAATTCTCAATATATGAGGTAGCTTTGCAAAATCTTTTCAGGGTTTTCTGAGTGAATTTAAAGTGTGGTGCTGCAAAGCTCCTGATCGGCACATTAATACTCCTTAATTGAGTCGTAACCCTGGTACTATGGTGCTCTTACCCAGTTTATCATAACCATTAGGTCACTCGTGCGAATAAAAGGTTTAAATTGGTCTTAACAGAAGCCTTTAATGATTAGCTCGTAGCTATTTGTGAGTTTTCCGACTGGTTTTGTGATTTGTTAGGTCCGAGACACTACTTTAGACTCCGCATTTTGCGAAATCAGATTATATCTAACAAGTTTGTTTGATGGTCTGATTGGTTGCACAAACAAAACTTCAGTCTTATCCGTTGTTAATTCGAAAACTGTTCACGGAAATTTTATTTTCGACAACCCATAAAGTTGTGTCTGGTAACAGCTCTTGACATCTGTGTCATTTGCTGTATTTATAAACACTGTTGGATTACTGCATAAGACATCCCAAATCACAGATGAAAAGGTTTGGCTTAATGTTTCGTCGTCTAGTCATGTTTATCATCACAGTAGTTCTTTAGTGTTACCGGTGGCAACGTTCCCTTCGGGGATCATTCTAAGTGCCGATGATGATACCAGTTGGTGTATGCGCCACTGACGTTCATTTGACGAATGGTGTTTTTTTTGGTGTTGATTATAATGGGGATGCAGTCGCTGTCGGATTGTACGGAGGTATTTTTCATTTATCTGCATGTGGGCTGTTTGTACTTGGTGTGTCAAGTCTGTTAAATAATTTAGTATTTTGTATGTTGGCGTTCAAATATTACTTGGTTGGGAAACTGAATTTTCTAGGTTTGGATATATGAATAATAAATTCGATTTTCCTATCCGTCGTTCGAGAATTTCTTATTTGTTTCTCTGGTAGCTTTTTGTTATTAGTGTTTATAGTAATCTCATTCGAAATCCTATTGTGGACATGATTAACATGTTTCTCTAAGTCAGTATTTTGGTTTTCTTTGAGAAATTATTAAATCTGGGTTGTGTACCTATTAGTGTAACTCATTGAAGTTTCCTTAGTTGTGAATAAGTCTTAGTTGTATATGAATCTTTGGTTAAGTCGGATAGGGTATGAAAAAAGAGGTGGCGTAGTCGAAATCTGTCTCAATTGTTGAAGTTCTCAGTTGTTGGTTAGTGCCAAGTAGGTGTGGTGAAAACTGTCTGGGTGAGGTTGTCGAGATACTAAGTACCAGTGGGTAGAGAGTGTAGATGATATGGCATGAAACTGTGCTCATTAGTGCAGATGCATTCACTCTTTGTTATATCCCAGATCGATTAAATCTTGTTTCTCCATGTAGTTAGTCTTTTTCCGTACATTTGTGTGTATAACAGTTCTTTTGAGTTTTTATGTACTTTTGTATGCTAAATGATGTGTTGTGACTTGAACTGCTGCAATTTTTGCAAGGTTTCACGCTGAAAACTCAATCAGTTACTCGATTTCACGAACCAACCTTGTTCCCTTATAATATGAAGGACACTTCGTTGTCACTAAACGTAACTCCTTAGATTTTAAGATAGCTTGAGTAAAAAACTATTAAAGTGCGTTTGTATGGATTAAGAAGGAAAAGAAAATCTATTACTGTTCGTTACTCTTCAGTATTCCCCACAAATACAAAATCCTACTAACCTTCAGTCTTTTTATTATCGCTAAAGAAAATCTTTACTCCCATGTTATTGTTAGTGTTGTTAATGTTTAGTGGTTTTGTACGTAACACACAATGACCTACAAGTATTTCTTGAAAAATTGAGTTAATGTAGTCTTATTTGGCATAACCATTTGAAATTTTACCTTTAAATCTACAAATCCTAATACTTAGTATTCAGTTACATACTGGTATGTTTTAAGCAACGTTGAATTTTAAAACTAGTGCAGATTTCGAGTTGTTTTTGAAACCAGTGTATTGATTTTTTAAAAACAATTTCAGTTACACCAGTGTACAGTTACCCTCAGTGGGGATAGACAATGCTTTCAACCACCTAATGCCTAGTGATTCTACACAGGAAAATATAAAAGCCAATGACAATGCAAGCGAATCTGTCTTTATCCAGTTGTCAGATAGTGATGGAAATGAAGTTGGAACGCCTATTTGGATACCTTTGGATGTCGATGTTACCAAACTTTCTGATCTTTTGAGTGATCTTCTCCAAAGAGTGAGCAATTATCCTATTTTTATATTTATCCTTTTATCGGTATGCTTTTATAATGTAAGTTAGTTGGTTGCAGTTTTCAGGTTAGCTGTACCGGGAAAACAAACTGTGATATTGGGTAATTTTGAGTTTACTTTCTCGTCTGATTTTGTGAGCTCACCGCTATATCGTTACGGGTTAGGGCAAAAAAGTTTTGGTTACTAATGTTTATCTGGGCATCAATCGATGACCAGATTCATCTCTAATAAAGCCATTTCCTGACAAAACTTATCGCAAGACTAAACAAGCATATTAACGAGTTAGACTACGTTCTCTTCACTAGACTTGTGGATCGGTATACTCAGTAAATAAGCAAGTTGTACAACGATGATTTTGGGGTTTATGTGAATAGGTAATCATATGTTAACTTGAATTTTTGTTCTGACACCACTTCATGTAGCAATTCTGGTTAGAGAAACTGATTTGTCGTCTACATTTTTCAATTTTGTCCATTTATGTCTTCATTATCTCCTCAGTATTAATACAAAGTCCCTTCACTTTCCCCAACTTATCACTCTGCAATTATCAATAACTTTTCAATTTGCAACATATTACTATTATTATAAGCACTCAGACAAACCTAACACAGCATGGGGGCCATGAAGCGCAGCACATAGATTATGTTTTTAGGATTAAGATACTACTTGAATACAAAAAAACTGGCGCAAATGACTGCCTTAGGAATTAATTCTTTGATCCTTACATTTATCTTTAAATATTCCCATTTATAATATTTGAACAAGACATATAAGCGAACAATATTGTTTTCAATTAGATCTTCTTCAGGCTTTACTCTAATTTACATAGATTTATATATAAAATTTTAACCAATGACGGTGATTTTGGGAATCAAATAATTAAGACTATTAAGATTATTATTTGATTCCCAAAATCACCGTCATTGGTTAAAACTTTACATTTATGCTTGTCCCATAGTGGAGCAGAACCACAGAAGGAGCTATGTCTTTCATTCAACTCAGCTCCTTAAGCCACCGGTGGTCATAAGTTTGAAGTTAGAGCTTTCTAGTTTCTTCAAGTAAGCCTTCCGTATTCACGTCTCTTGTGATAAACTCCAAATACTTGCAGTCATTCTAGCTTTGTAGAAACACTGTCAACCGTGTAAAGGCAGCAATAAGACAGCCGGAAAATATCATCCGATGACCCTGTGGATACGTTTCAGGGAAAAGACTGAGTTTCACCCATTATCCATCAGCTGAAATCATTTGAAGGGGCAAACCATAACTTAGTTGAAGTAAAAATGTAATTTCTGAGTTTTCTTCATTTCACTATTTAAACTAAAAAGGAGTTTGAACCTAAAGCTGTTAGTAGAATTGTTTCTATTGTATTTAGTTGTTGTATTCATTTAGTTAGATACTATACTACCAATAATGTATTGTTGTCAGGTAAGGCATTTAATTTGTCAAGTCTAACAAATGTGATAAATGCAGTTGACAAATTCCCTTTATTCCACATTTGTATGTATTATTTATTGTAATCAGTGTACGATTGTATGTGCGTCAGTGGTTCACTGGTAGAGAATGCTTGCTAACCACGCACATAATCCGGGGTCCAATTCCTGGCTGACGCATTCTGAAACCTCGCTTAGCCGGTAGCATGTCCGGCAAGGAGGGAGGGTTAGGCGCGTAAAGGTAGCAACGACACCTCGTAAAAACAACACCAATGCTGCTGAAAGTCTAAAGCTTGAAGCCCTATGTTCCACTAGGAATTCATGGTGTTTGGGAAATGGGTGTATGATCTCATTTGTATTGACGCTAAAGTAACTAACTGACAGCTGCTTATTGTCCTCTAGTCTAATTTCATGGTTCGCCATAAAACGTGTCGTCAAGCTGTGTAAAATAAATTATTGATGATTCTATGAATTTTGGTCGAGGTTTGACTGAATGAAAAGTAATCTTAAGTATTTTAATTGCGAATCAGTTTACCAAACAAAATGTTGGGATTATTTATCTCAATTTATATCAGTATTATACAAATAAAATTATTGCAGTTTCTTGATATGTCGCGGCATCTATCCTAGTTGTAAACTTCTCACTAGAAATTTAGCGGCTTGATCAGGATAAGTTATTCTTGCTATTTACACCCTTAAATGGTCCAACGCGCAGTAATCAGTTCTTATCACTGAATTAGACGACAGGTTATTTGTATTATCGTGGTAGCCGTTCGTATGTATTCAGTTATTTTAATCATATTCAATAGTTTACGCAAACGTCAAAAACAGTGCAACTTTTTAGCGGTGAACATATATTCTATTTCTGAACATAATCACTATTTCCAACTGTATTACACTCCTTCCGACTTGGTTAATATGAAAGTAGATACATCTTTGTAGTCGTATCCAGACTAACCTACTTGACCGTATCAAACTGATTTCGTTACTATATAACTGCTCGAATTATTTCGAACTGAGAACTTCTGACTACTAACTTCTTTGTGTGCTTATGGAAGTAGGTGGGCGGTTGTTACTCCCGGGATGTCCACACCATGAAAGTTGATCTCTTCTAGGAGTACTTGAAATAGAAAGAGCTCTAGTGTTGCGTGATCGCAGAGCCAAGAGGACGACTAATTGAGGCCAGTTACACACTGTCTATTTGAAGTGATTTTTGGAATTGTGTCGCCGCCGGCTATGGACCACCGCAAGTTAAGTTGAAGTGTGCAACAACCCAGTCCCAAGGTCTGAGAGACAGCATAGGGAAACACCTTACTGCTGTTTCATCCATATTCCCCAGAAGTACAACTTTACCCACAGACTCTCTAACATACTGTATACGATTCACACTATGATGGCAACTGCTTCTAGTCTGACTACTATCCAAACGACCTTTGTGACGTAGTAGAACTTGCAAGAAGACTAATTCCAGCCAGTATAGCTTGAGTCATTTCGACATGCAAGCTCGTCCACTTCGTCAAGGTAGCAGCTATTGGTCTCCTACTAGCAATATTTTATAGATATTGTAAAAATTCTAAATAATTCTACTCAAATGACAACACGTAATATCTATCAGTATCATTATCTATGGGTGTTTTAAATAAATTAGCCTAATTTTAGAAACACTTCATTCATTACTATAAATTAAGTAAATAATTCTGATATTTATAAAACTCGAACTCTCAAGACTGACAGCCATTTAAGAAGTCACTTCTAATTTCTCTTCTTCTTTTTTTATCATTCCAAAGACAGATGTAAGTCCTCTGATGTACGATTTTTTCGTGGGTGATGTACAAATTTTGGATGACTTGAAAGCAGCGTTAATACAAGCACGTGCTAAAGGCACTGATCCTTCTTTACCGAATTTTGGATCAACTGGTCTTGAAGGCGTAGTGAAAGTCACGTATCAAGCTCAAGCCATTTTTCAAGTCCGTCCAGTAACACGTTGTTCAAGCAGTCTACCTGGACATAAAGGTGCTGTTCTAGTTGCACAGTTTTCACCAGATGGAAGGTAAGCTAGTTATTTGCAATAGTAAGTTTTAAAAAAATTTTAATTACTTACGCAATATGTATTCACGAGTAATGACGATTCGCTCAAACACAATAATGCTCAGATGTGGTTCATCGGTTTAGGTAGGTAGTCAACTTTCAACCAATGAGTCCAAGGATCGAATTTGGCTTCACTCTACTTCAGCTTGAGCAACTAGTTAGTATCGTCAATGCTCACACATTAAAAGTGGCTCAAAGCCCGGTATCAAGTAACTGCGTTCTAAGTAGTTAATTGACTAACAAACAAAAGAAAATGTTCAAAAGAATGGATACTGAACAAAGAGTACTCTTTGCGATAACCCCTTCATCATCAGGCTCTACAGTTATATATCCATACATTATAGTGAATGAATGAATTAGTGTTATGAACAACATTAATGTTGTTTAAATAACATCGAATCAATAATATTGATAAATTACAGCTGAACAGCATCAACATAAAATAAACTGAATGTCAGAAGAATTAGGAAAGATAATAGTACAAATTCATGACCGATGGTGCTACCTCGACTGAAATATAAAGTACCTAGACTAGCCACTTCAAATTGTATCTATCAATTCAACTGCGCTTGTGGAGCGAGTTACATTGGCCGTTGCTCTAGGAACTTGATTTTTCGTGCTCGAGAACATATCCCACTATGGCTAAGTAAAGGTGTAGTTAAAACTATTAACAGTTCGATATTAGACCATCTAGTGCAAACTGGTCACAAAGCCAGCGTGGAAGAGTCCTTCTCTATAATATACCGGGTGCCTAACAAGCTACCAAAATCATCGAAGCACCGCATGCTCCAAACAGCAGAGGCTATTGCAATTCGCCTCAAACAACCCGTGCTCTGTGTTCAAAAGAAACAAGTCCAGTCCCTACTACTGCCCTGGCCCTCAGTAGAGACTATAAACTCATGAATTTGTACTATTACCTTTCCTAATTCTTCTGACATTCAGTTTATTTTATGTTGATGCTGTTCAGTTGTAATCTATCAATATTATGGATTCGATGTTATTTAAACAACATTAATGTTGTTCATAACACTAATTCATTCATTCACTATAATGCATATATAATTGTAGAACATGATGACGAAGTTATTAAAAAGAGTTCTCTTTGTTCAGTATTCATTCTTTTAAAAATTTTAATAATAATAATAATAATGATTTGCTTTATTCCAAAACAGTACTTGTGATACAGAATGGAATTCTCAGCATTTTTTACTACAGTATTGCATCCAGTTAGTACATTATCAATAAATAGAATTCTACATAGATTGAGGAAACCACAGTTCATTATTACAACAATACATTGGCATGTCAGTAGCAAAGGTAAAGCTGAAACAGTGTTTGAAGGTGTTAGAAAAGTGGGAGCTGTCTTATTAACTGGCGTAAGCGAGAGAAAGAGACAAAGCAGCACATAACGGAAAAAGAAGAGAGAGAAAAGGAACAGAAAGAAAGAAAATGTTGTACCTATTGATGAAGTGGGTTGGAAAGATGAGATCCAGTTGTACTAATGACTATTTAATGAATTATACGTGTCACGCCTAATGCTTTCTTTATCACACAGAACACGAGCTAAGTAGGGTATGGTTGAGTTTTTGTACTTGCTAGTGCGAGCATATAGTTTTCTGTATAGGCTTCTTGTTTTACCTGATGAGATGCAAGGGGAGAGTTGTGAGTGAATAGGGTGGTGTGAGTTAGATAAAATGGATTTGGCCCATTTTTCACATGAGTCCATGTGCCTGTCAACCAAAATATTAACAAGCTGGTTAAGTGGCACGTTGCTTACTCTGCTGACAACATTTAACATCCTGCGTAATATGTTATAGTCTTTCTTCAGTAGCCCGGGAAAAACTAAGGGGGAACAATAGAGAATAATAGGCAGGATGCGAGAATTAACGAATTGTAGGAGTAAGGGTTGGGTTATACCAGAATGTTTTAACTTCTTAATGTAGAAGGTGAGACGGAATATTTTCTTAGAAATTGCTAAGATATGAGACGACCAGGAGAGATCAGCAGATAGAATGACGCCTAGGTATTTAATTTCCGACTTGGTTTCTATTTCAGTGCCGTCTATGTTGCATACCTCGTGAGAGCCAACCAGTTTGTTTAGGTCGGATTTATGCCTAAAGGTGAAATTGACTGTTTGGCATTTGGAGGGGTTTAAGGTAAGACCGTTTTCTTTGGACCACTGGTTGATTTCTGACAGAAAGCCATTAAGTTTAGAGCAGTCGCTTTGACATTTGATAGGCAAAGATACAGACACATCGTCAGCGTATTTGACAAAATTAATGTCATTTGAAGATGGTAAGTCATGTAGAAAGAAAGAAAAGAGAAGTGGGGAGAGTACAGCGCCTTGGGGGACTCCGGCTTCAGTGAGTGCAGCAGAGGATGATTTACCTTTGTATACGGTGTACTGCATTCTGTTTGAGAAGTAGGAATGCAACCAGTTGGTGACCCAGGACTCAGTTTTCGTCAAAGAGAGCTTATTTAACAGGAGACATCTAGGAACAGAGTCGAAAGCAGAAGTGAAGTCAAGAAACGTGCAGCGGACGTATTTGGCACCTTCATCTAATGATGAGACGATGTTGTTGTGTAAGACAGCTGCAGCGTCTAATGTACTCCTACCCTGTCTATAGGCAAATTGTTTTGGGTCTTCGAAGTTTTTAAGGGAGGGTTCGAGTTTAAGAAGTATTAGTTTTTCCATAAGCTTTAGAAACGGGGAAGTGATGGCAATGGGTCTGAACTTTACGTTCTTGCCGTTTCCAGGTTTGGGGACAGGGACAATTTTGATGTCTTTCCATGCATCAGGTACGATATTTTTGGAGAAAGAGGCATTTAGGATGTTGGTTAGTGGAGAACACAACACATCTGCACATTGTTTTAGAACATAGGCAGGTATACCATCAGGACCTAGGCTACGTGAGGGCTTGAGTGTTTTAATGGGCATTTTTAATCAGTTAAAAGAAAATGTGTTCGCTTTAGATGATAACACTTAACAAGAAATGAGGGGGAGGTTAGTGATAAAATTGTGAATATGTAACTGGAGTAACAGGCAAGTTATATTTTGTAAACGGTTGAATTCAATTTTCAGTCGTCTACTATTTGAGGTGTATGCAGTTGTTTAGCATCTAACAAATTCAAGACAGATTTAACATAAAGAAAGGCAGTTAATTTTTATAGTAAACTTTTAAAACACTAAGTTGAGGTTACTAGTCGGGCATTTCTTAAAATATACCTGGTCTTTCGAATAGAAAAACAAACACCATCTTTTCTGTGCAACCGTTTCCTCTGTTATCTCCTACAACATAGAAGTATGACTGTTGATATTATTATTATTATTATTCCATCTCTCGGATTCCGAATGGAACAAAAGGCTTAAGCAGCATATCACCATTTCGTTCTATTCTCTGCAGTCTTTTTCAGCTAGCGCCGTAAGCTTTCATTTCTTCCTCACACGATCTTCACTCCATACTAGCCATCTCGTTGCTTCCCATTGAGGTTCCAATTGGCAGGTTGATTAATTTGTGACTACTGTGCCATCAACATAACGCATCCAGATTTTCAGCTTGATTATTAGTAGAGTTATCGTTTTGATCATGGAAAATTCCCATTGTAACATATAGAAAATCAAAACAAGTGATTCAGCGAAGAGACTCTTTTCAACAATGAATTTATCATCAAGCTGCACAATCGTATATATATGGTTTTCAAGAAGTTATATCCGGTGAGGGAATTGAATTATAGGTGTGAATGCATAAAATAATGATAATAATATGAAATGCAATTAAAACTAAAATGTTGGTGATTATAATCGTAGTTAAATGTCAAGTGACAAAGCAAATTAATGTCATATATAGAATAATTCATAGGATGGATAGAACTTGAAAAAGGGTGGGCAATTATAGGATTAGTAGACAAATCAAATAAAACAAAAACGTTACGTAATATTGTGTGGAATTTGATAGCATAGAATTTAACGTTGTAAAAAAGAATTGATAAGTGGAACAAGTGAAATAATACCGGGGACAGGTCAAAGTGATAATAGTAATAGTGACAATTAACGTAAGATGGAAGAGTATACAAATTGAATAGACAAAAATGAAAGAAATGAAAAATTGGTAGAGCTAAAATGTGATTGGGGATTACCATACTTTAGCATAGAGGGATTAAAACCATGAAAGTTGGAGGGGTTGAACGAACTTTTTCTGTACACAGAGATCTGGCTTTTCTGTTTCTACAGCCAAAGCTTCAGCAATACACATGAGTTGGGTACGTAGGGATTTCAGTAAATTACTCTTTGCCTTGTAGATGACTTTGAACGCGGAGGCTATAGAGATAGGGTGATCATTATCGACCAGATGTTCAATGATCGCGCTTCTTATTGCTCGTTTGGAGTCTGGATAACTGCCTCAGTAATTTTGGTTATGATATAGGCGATCCCATAATTGTTTCTTTCATCATTTCATTCAGTACAATGCAGACCAAAAGACCCAATGGTAAAAGAAGGGCAAGATCAACACCATCTACAAAATAAATTGCATGAACTGTGCGCGGTAATCACTATATTAGTCCGAGTGAACGTCTGCTTCGACTCCGAATCCAAAAGCATAAACTAGTTGTGATAAGATACGATACTTGTATTCTTTCATATTGATACATGTAGACAACTGTGAACACCAATCTGACTTAGAAAATGTAAAAATTTTAAGCAGCAGAAAACCGAGAATGCTACAGAATTCTTGGAAACCTGGTACTCAAACGAATCAGTAATTACACAGACACACTGCTATGTATTAAATTTACCAACTCATAAAAAATTAGCCATATGACAAAACAAATGAAATTCCAAGTCATTAGGAACGACCATTACTGACACAAATCGATAATCAACCACAACAACGATTGTCAGGAGATACAACTATATCATTTATAGTGAAATTCCAGTAATTTCACACTTCATATTAACACATGCGCTGACGATGTTGTCTAGAAGGTGAACGAAAGCTTCGCCATTGAGTATCCATGCTCATAGAACTCAACCAAATCAAATTCATCTACCTCAACTACTATTCTTCTCTAATATCTTAAAAGGGATTGATATGTGCCTAAAAAGTATCAGGCTGAACGCGTATAGATAAGTCATGAATGTTGGGCAAATATCGAAGAAGAAACATAAGAGGTCTAGCCTGAAATCACTCAAATTTCCAAAAATCCGAATGGATAGTCTAATGTATTATTAATATAAGTGTAAAACTTGGGCATTGTGGTAGAGTATGACTCTATTATAGATAAGATTTTATTTTGATGAATCACACATTGGTGTTATACAATAATATTAACTGATGACCACGTTTCCAGCACAAACTATTGCCACTCATAGTTATATCAACTCACTTACATAACTTTTTTCCTTCATTTATATACATGAGTGGAATTGACGATTAGACATTTGAATAAAACTCAATATAGGATTATGTACATTCAGAAATAATAATACGAGTGTTATCAATCAAATACAGTCAGATGGGAAATAAGACGAGTGTTTTTGTAGTCATAATAAGTAACTTGTTCGAATGTTGTGATGTGCTTGAATTGAAATAGAATTTTAAGATTATTTATTATCCTCCTCTGATTTGACCGGTGGTAATAATATCGTCTATATTTCTGGTATTTGCATTGAGTCATTTCTGTTGCATGTGTTGGGTGTGTAGACTGGATGAACCGGACAGAATTCAGTAATCAATCTCTCTCTCCACCTGCCTATGTTACTTCTTAGAATTTTAACCCTCTCCCACCCTATTGTGTGGTTGTGTGTTAATGCATGCAGTGCAATTGCTGAGCTTTTTTCTAAATTACTTATCTTCGCGAGTGGGGTCAACCATTCTTACCTTAGCTAATGGTAATTCTAATGATAAGTTGTGACCATTGGGGTGCACTAAATGGGATGTGGATGCGAATATTCACCGATAGCATTGGTTAGTGGCAGTGCTGTATGTATGTTGGGAATCTTCAGAAGTTAGAATTCATATACCCATTGAATTCCTTTCCAGAGACTATTATCGATCAACAAACTCATCTCGTAACCTAGAGTCGCTGAGTTCAGTTGTTTGCGGAATCGTGGGCGAGTAATATTTAAGCGTCTGAAACTAGGATGAAATATCTGCGCAATGCTCCTTGGTTTTCATTGGTTATCTAACTGATGTTCTATACTGATGAAATTTACCTTAAAACTATAAAATTTAGAGTGAATTGGGGATAAATAGGTGAAACAGTTCACCTGATCATGTACATTTACACTTAGTCAGCGTGTTTCTGTTCGCTTTCCTGACCATTCAGACTATTTTTGGGGATCTGAAGGCATTAAGTTATTCCTTTTTTTCTGTTTTTTTCAGTCGTATTTTTAGTATGTGTTTCATTTTTCAGAAGTTTAGCAAGTGGCTCCGGTGATCAAACAGTGCGTTTTTGGGATCTCAACACTGAATTGCCTTTGACTACAGGTTCAGATGTACACAAAGCTCCTGTTTTATGCTTAGCATGGTCTCCTGATGGTGTTCGACTAGCATCTGGTTGTCAGGGTGGGGTGGTTTGTTTATGGCGTCAGTCAGATGCTAACAGTGATTGGTGCTTATGTTCAAGTCGTCCGTTAATCAGACCTCAACTGGCAGCTACTCCAGCCTCTTCTAAAGGACGTTGGATAAGATCTGTTGTATGGAGGCCATTGCATTTGTAAGTTGTTTTTTTTGTTGTTTATTTTGGAACTTTTCAAATGTACCCTCGAATTCGTTGAAAGTGGAAGATATAAAGAGGCTAGCTGTCTTTGACTATAGGTCTGTGCACTTACCTCGTATTATGTAGTGTAATATAATCAGTAATAATGAGATTGGGTGTATAGTACTAGGTAAAGAGGGAGTCATTATGTGAGGTTGTATATCTTCACCGATTGAGATAAGTAGGACCCGGTGTTACGCATGCCGAAGCACCGCCTTCCTCGTTGAGTGATGTTAGCTGACATAAGATATCTTTGAAAAAGGAGCTAAGGAAGGTCAACACAAAATCTAGCATATATCCATGCAGTTTTCGATCGCTGGTTTAAGCCATGTAGGTGCAGACTGCCCAGATGGCGACCTCGTGACTCTAAGATCCAATGTCTGGAGACAGTTGGTGTCATTGTTTGCAATTGTTTTAAACGGCATAGATGCATTTACTCTTTCAGTTATACCAGTTATATAAAATTCCGAAAAAACTCACTTCACATTGAAGTACGTGCTGAAGATGTTGTTTAGTAGGACGGTGAATACTTCATTATCGGACCAGCTGCCTCGGAGAACAGAACTTCGTCAAGAACGTTTCCCTTCCTAACTCCCTTTGCTCAATTACTTTGAATAATATTCATATAATATCTGATTGTAAGTGAAGTGCAAATCCTGAAGCTGGTTTTAGATGCGTATTTGTGCATACCGTTACCTATTCTCCATCAAACTAAGAATAGATGAGGAAAAGAGGGAACCGAGCATATTTGTGTACCGATTCGACTGTGATGAGTTTACATCCACAACAGGAAACTCACTGAATCCTTCGAAGTGAAGACGGGAGTAAGACAAGCTGGCTGCCTACTATCTCCAATGATTAATTTCCTGATTGCGGTAGACTGGATAATGCGACAGACAGTGGCGGGCAGCGAGGAAACAGGCATAAAATGGACCCACACAAAAAAACTTGGAGGATCTGGACTTCGCCGATGATATATGTCTGATTTCCCACAAACTGGAAGATATGCAAGTAAAAAAGCAACAAGTTGGCAGAAGAAGCATCCAGAGAAGATAAGACTTCAGGTGAACATAGAGAAGACAGAAGTGATGAAGATTCCTGGCCACAGCAACAGCAACAACAACAGACAACAATTAGTATAAATGGGAGAGATCTGAAAGAAGCAACCTCCTTTACCTACCTACCTGGGAAGCATCGTTTCAACTACAGGCGGACGGAACTGACGAGGATCGGGGGAGTAAGGCAAGCTTTCATTTGTCTCAAGTCTGTGTAGAGGTCAACAGCACTGGACAGACGTGGACTTTCAACTCCAATGTGAAGTCAGTGCTAGATCAGAGACTTGGCGCATCACGAAGGGCACTTCGAACATGCTGCACACCTTCGTCAACAGCTGTCTTCGCTCAATAAAAATCGCAAAATATTAGCACTAGGGTATCTCTGGCAATGAGCAAACCAGCTCAGTAGGAACCGACTGTGCAACAAATATACAGGAAGAAATGGAGGTGGATTGGCCATGCTGTGAGAAAACAAACCATCAAGTGAGTGACATCACACGACAGGCCATCGCTCGAGTGGAACCAGAATGGGAAGCAGCGAGTTGGTCGTCAGTGCGAGTGTGACATGGAGGAGGTCATGCGAAGAGGAGATGAAAGCATGTGGGCAGACGTGGAGCCAGGTGATGAAAACGTTGTCAGAGAACCGAACGCAATGGAGACGTGTGGCTGAAGCCCTATGTTCCTCTAGGAATTAAAGGAAATAATAATAATAATGTTCCGAGCGGAACACAAAACTTCAACAACACATCTCCATTTCATCTTGTTCTTTGCAGTTTTCTTTGGCTGGCTCCATGATTGCCCATAATCTCTCATCGCCTCCTCACACAATCTCCTCTACCTCACTCTTGAACCTTTGATATGGTGTTGGTCAGTTAAGTGAGTCTGTAAGTTACTGGATGAGTGGTTAATGTGTTACACTTTACAAGTCGTACTTAATACTGAAGTACCCAGGTAATCAGTACGCCACCTGACCTGTAAGTACTGATAACAAACACGAATCAAAAAGGCTCAGTTATTTGGGAAACATGCTCTGAAGAGAACAAATGTTGATATTATTTAGGGGAAAGATTTTACCTCGTGTGGCTCAAAACAGCGGACTTTGAGGATGTGCGTGTTAACCAGCTTAGGGAAAAGCGCGAAATGATGTCAGAGCCTGGTTGGTTGCATACCCGTTAAAAGAGAACTTAAGATACCTAAAGCATCCGAAAGCGAGGAAAGCAGGCTAGAATTTTACCTACTTAGTTCATTTTGATCCAATATGTTTTAGCCCTAGTTGTGTTTTGCTGCCATCCCAGGCATACACTACAAGTCATTGACTACATATCGTAATAAAGAGTACTCGTTGACCAATTGTTTGGTCAAATTTTTTACTGTCACTAACAGACTTTAAGTGGCCCAACTGGACTGGTCACTTGTGCTCATTGTGCATCGGTGATTCAATGCTAGAATGCTCACTAACTGCGCACATGCCGTCTGGGTTCGACTCCCAACCGACGCACTCCTAAACGTCTCCTAGTTGATAGCGAAACCAGTAAAGTTGGAAGGTTGAGCATGAGGCTAGCAACCTTACCCCATAAAGGTGACACGGCTGTTGCTGAAGTTTTATAGCTCATGCTTGAAGCCTCTTGTTGCACTAGGGAACTCAGTAGAATGAAAAAAACAGATTTTAAGAATTACTGATATATTTCTTTATTTGAAATTGAGCTGAATTGTATTCCAAAATGTTATTTTCCTGTTGTTTTTTTTTAAATGCAGAGATCCAGAATGCAGACAACTTGCAGTTGCTTATCAAGATTGTTCCATCGTTATTTGGGATACATTTACAGGTCAACCGGTGCATACAATTACTGGTCATGATAAACCAGTTGTATGCCTACGTTGGGGTGGTACAGATTTGATTTATTCAGCTAGCCAAGATCGAACGATTCGTGTTTGGCGTTCCAAAGACGGTGTATTATGTCGTACATTAAATTTACACGGTCACTGGGTAAATTGTTTAGCCTTGAGTACTGATTATGTATTACGTACTGGTGCTTTTGATCCTGCTTGTGCTCAATTAGTGAAAAGTGTTCCTGTATTTCCAAAGGATCCAGAGACTGGTGAGTTAGATGTACTGTATGTAATTTCTTTCTGTCCTATATTATGATTGAGGTGGTGGCTAACTGGATTTTTGGTGTCAGCAAGTCGATTAGTGTTGCTGGCTTCTTTGAGCTGGATAGTTCTGTTGAGAAACTATCTTTATCTTTCCAGACAACATCTCCAGCCTATACTTCTTCATATTTAAAACTACTCTAATTCTTTGGTGGTATAAGGAATCATAAGTTGTCTAGTTGTAGCCTGAAAAATAACCGGTAGTTTAATACTCGAGGCCAAAATTGTAGACAATAATTTACGTCAATATTTACGTCCCGAAACGGGGTCATGAGAAAAAACAATAACAAAGCTTAACCTTGAAGAACTCAACATCCAATCACAGCAAACTTAGCGTGTGCAAATACGATTCGCAGATATGTCGCCTGACTATCTAAGAAACGGCCCCAAAGAGATGACAGAATAACCTTGAGCAAGAAAACAACCAATCAGAAGAGGCTGCTTCTCTGCTAAAATAACGAATAATTATATATATATATATATATATATACCTGCTCTTCGCCATTTATATACTATAACTGTGTACAGATAAATAATCTGTTTTCAGAGAAAAATTAAATTTTTTTAGTTGGTAGTGGCTGTCGGTGGAATGCACAGTGAGTGTGTCGTCCTATTTGGGACTTGTCAGTTGCATATATTTGTTTCCCTACTGAGTGAGTGGTGATGTTCTCACTGAGAGTCGAACTTAACACGTATCGTTTCAATCGCAAAAGTGTTATCCACTAGACCACTTGGGCCACGAAAACTGCTTCTTGTACAACAGGTGTCAATTATTATTTGTTCAATTTAATTTTGTATTTCACTATGGATAAGATTTTATTTTGATAAATCACACAGTGGTGTTATACAGTAATATTAACTGATGACCACATTTCGAGCACAAATTATTGCTCATAATCATATCAAGTTACTCACACAACTTTTTCCTTCATTTATATACATGAGTGGAATTGACTAGATATTTGAATAAAAATCAATATGAGATAATGTACATTCAGAAATAATAATATGAGTGCTAATGATCAAATACAATCAGATGGGAAATAAGACGAGTGTTTCTATAGTCAAAATAAGTAACTTGTTAGAATATTGTTATGTGCTTGAATTGAAATAGAATTTTAAGATTATTTATTATCCTCCTCTGATTTGACTGACTGGTGGTAATAATATCTTCCATGCATATCTCTGGTATTTGCATTGAGTCATTTCTGTTGTATGTGTTGTGTTGGGTGTAGACTCGATGAACCAGTCAGGATTCAGTAATCAATCTCTCCACCTACATAGATTACTTCTTAGAATTTTAATCCCCTCCCACCATTCTATTGTGTGATTGTATGTTAATGCATGCAGTGGAATCGCTGAGCTTTTTTCTAAATTACTTATCTTCTCGGGTGGGGTTAACCATTCTTACCTTAGCTAAGTTCGTATGTTCCGACAATCTGATTACCCCCGATCTACTACTTTGACCTATATACTTTACCTCACAGTCATTGCAGGGTATTTTGTAAATTATATTATTTTGTTTAATTTGGTCCACTGGGTCTTTTAGCCTACATAGCTTGTCTCTGAGTGAGTTTGTAGGTTGGAATGCCACTTAAATTCCTGCTTTATTTTGAATCCTACGTAGGGTCTCAGATCTCCCCTCCTTATATGGTATAACAGTAGATGACTTGTATTCTCTCTTATTTGTGTTATCATTACTAGTTTCATAATTATTTTTAGTTTGCTTTTGGCTTTTTTCGATCTTCCTAATGAATTTCTTTTGGGCGTCGGTGGCATAGTGGTTAGGACGCTCGCCGACCATGCACATGGTCCGGGGTTCGATCCCCGGCCGACGCACTCCCCCCTTACCTCACTTAGCCAGAAATAATGCTGGTGAAGAGGAAAGGTTGAGCATGAGGCTAGCAACCCCATCCTGTAAAAGCAATCACCACTGTTACAGAAACTTCAAGCCTCTAGCTTGAAGCCCTATGTTTCACTGGGGAACGTGAAGGAAAATAATAGAATTTTATGGGATTTATCAAAATAAAATCTTATCCATAATGGAGTTACACTCTACCAAAGTGCCCAAGTTTTATACTTATATCAATTAGATGACAATAACTGTCACTCTCGGGACGCAGCTGACGAGTCCCCAGTTCGGCAGTACGAGTATTCTGAATACCACTGTTCATAGCCCGCTTCCACCAACCAAATTATATTTCACCCATTTCTTTTGCGATGGATACTTTTACAGCGGCAGAATACAGTGGTATTTAGCCTCGAAGTTGTTTCTTTGACATACAGTCACGGCAGAAACTATAAAAGACCTTAAAGTGAAATTTCTATTGTCAAAAGTTACTCGCGTATTCTGCTTCTTTCGTTGTCATCCTTTCATGCTTTCTCTGTATTGTTTCGCGAAATGATCTTCTCTTTTCTCGTCTTTGAAGCCTAATTCATCGTGTCGTTATTCAAGAATTTTTGCAGACGACATTACACACTCACACAATACGCTATTTGTAAATTCCTTGTCAGTAGCACACGGAACTGTATTCAAAATAGCTATTCTTAATAAACTTGAAGAACCATGTATTGTTTGTTGTTGCTGTTGTATTAACAAGACCATATTTCTGTGCTTTCGTGATATACTCTCTCTCTCTCTTTTCTATTTATACTAATTTCCTGTCTTTGGTTCATTAACCGGATTGCTTTATATATTTTCATTCAACTATCATCTGTCATTATTGTTTTATTTATTTATTTAAACAAAAACTTGGTGAAGTATTGGCGCCAAGGAATTTATCACAAGAAACCAATATAATGACATAAAAAGAAGCGAAAAAGAAATGCCAGTGAACATTAAAAAGATAGCGCCTACCGCTTCCTATTTATTTTGGCATGGATACTAGATTCATTGGCAATCGCGTGGGTGATGGAATATGGTGAGCAATATTGAGGTTGGACGTCGAGTATTAGGTAGCGGGGGTAAGTTAGTCTATTAGGTTGTGAAACTGAATGAACTGAAATGGCTAGGATGCGTTTTATGCCTGCCGAGTCATCGCACTCCTTGACAGGCAGTGCTATCTGGCAGAGCATCAGGTTGGCGGTCGAAGGAAAACTTGGTAACAGTGCATGAAGTCTTGGACAGTTAGTTTGAGCCATATAGATGGGTGTAGGTTTCCTAATTAAGGTCTTCGGGATTCTGAATACCGATGGATGACAACTGTGGATGATAGAACTCAAATTCGTTGTCGGTGGTACAAATGTATTGACTATTTGTGATCTTCCGTATACTTTAAACCCTTATGTTTCCCCATGTTACTTTTTTTCGCCTCTTTAAATTTTCTGCTCATCATAGTCCTTTTGAACCCCCCTTTTCTGCCTTTGTATGCTACATTAAGTGTGGTTACTTGAACTGCTGCACTTCTGTGCGAAGTTTTGGGTCAGAGGTGTTCAATTATAGCCGCTTTTAATTGTGAACGAGTGCTACTTCTTTCTAGTCATGCTGAGTGGTGTTGTCTAGCATATTTTGAAAGGAATCCTCTTTCGTTACTTTATTTGAGAACTGTCATATTTGCTTGTAATATATGTAAGGAAATTTGTGAATTAAAATCTCTCCAAACACTAACTTGTATGTTAATTTCTCTCTTTAAATTTCAGCACTGAAAACAGCTGAACTAGCGAAATCCCTGTATGAAAAAGTCAAGGTAATCGTTTTGTTCATATCTAAAATATCTGAGTTTATCATTCCCTGTTTTCATCAAATGAACCTAGTAGCCCTTAGATCCCGTGCATGTTTTCTTATTCATATACAGTGAATTGTGTAACGAAGATTTGCTCTCACTGTTTATCATCCAAAAGACATATAAATTAGAGGACCATTGAAAATTTGGGAGTACTGGTTATATATGGTCATGGGTGCCTACTGATGAAGAGTCCCCAACATAAGACGAAACAATTGTCCGATACGTCCTTGTTTTGTCAATGGTTGCTTAACTTGTATTAGTCGTATGTATTGAACTAGAAATTAATCAAACCCCTGTAAACCAACACTTGAAAATATCTAACTTAAAGTTTCTTGTTATGAACTAGGAACTAATAACCTCCTGCTGCTAAAAATCACCTCATTTCTCAGCCAGTGCCTTTTTATAATAATTAGCAATGTCGCTTGGTTATGTTATCTAATTCCTGATCGTTTTGGCAGAGTTTCAAAACCTGATATATTTTGTTCAGGGTTGATTTTTTACTCCGCTGATTGTGATTAGGACGAAATGTCCGACGTCTATTGGCATGTCGACCTTTAGTACGGTCGCTCTGACGATGTCTGAAGATTAACATTGATGGTAACTAGCAGTGGGGTCGACGGTGCACATTTTGTCCTGTTTCGAATTCATCGAATGGATGTACGTGCTTGCAATTTACAGTGAGTGATGGCGCTCTTACTAAACTTCGAACCCGGCATCATCCATGGTTCCACTGGACGGCTTGGGCAATAAGAGCCACCCTTTGTGCCATGGTTATCAGTCATTATTTGTTTAAATCAATTTGTTCGCGCAAGAGGTAGCTCTCATCGCCCAACTGATCTAGTGGATAACATTTTGGCGCTTGGAACAGTGGATGCTGGGTTCACTCACTGAGGATTGCATGTATATCCACTTGACGAGTCCCAAATAAGGTGAAATGCGCATCTTAGATTCCAGTGTTAGTCACCATCTACGAAAGGAAACCTGATATACTGTTTAAAATTTGTCTGCTGAACCTATGGTCATTATTATTATTATTAATTATCATACTGAAAGAAATATTTGAAGATATCTGAACACCCTTTTTGCTTCACTTAAACAAATTTGCTGAATTGTTAACTTTTCTTGTTATTTTAGGGTTCTCATCCTGAAAGACTAGTCGCAGGATCTGATGACAATACACTGTCATTATGGCAACCAGAAGTTGATAAAAAGCCTCTTGCTCCTCGTATGACAGGTCATCAAGGTGTAGTCAATGATGTGAAATTTTCACCGGATGGTCGTCTTCTCGCCAGTGCAAGTTTTGATCATTCTGTTAAAATTTGGGATGGTTTTACAGGACAGTAAGTATTAAGCTGTTGAATGTTTGTTTTATTTTGTGAATATCATCTCTGACTTGTGTCATCCATTTAAATGTCTATCAATCCACTGGCAATACTCATTAACTTACACGTCGTTGTCCCGAGTTTTACTGTGTGAAGTCCTGATACATGAGGTTCGTTTTTTGTACATTTTTTTTCTCTGGTATGTTGTGTATGTTTCTCCTGAGTGTGGTTGTAGTGAGAGCTGTCTGCTAGCCAAAATCGTAGTCACCAATTTACGTCAATGTCACGAGATAAAACAATAACAAAGCCTAACCTTGATGAACTCAACAACCAATCACAGCAGATTTAGCGTCTGCAAATACGATTCGCAGATTTATGGCCTGACCTTCAAAGAAACGGACACAAAGAGATGATAGAACAACCTTGGGCAAGAAAACAACCAATCAGAAGAGGCTGCTTCTCTGCAAAAAATAACGAATAATAAAAAACGAATAAAAATCTGTAAATATCTCGATTTTTTCAATAGACGATCTGTTGCCTCGCCCTTGCCTTCTGTCGTTACATGGTGACTTAGACTGATTCACCTTTTGTGCAAAGTTCTACGTTAATAAGTTAATCAGTCGGATCACATTCACCAATGATGCGAGCATTATTTTTCTAATAGGTAAAATGCTTCAGGTGGTGTAACATTCAGTTCCTAATCGATAGCTTAACGTTAAGACACGTCTTAGGACTTCTAATGGTTTCTGTAGTTCAGCCCTTATGAGATCTTGGTTGTATCCTGATTAATAATAGCCTGAGATTATTGCGAAACATCTACCCAGTGCTCCTCATTTTTGTATTGATTCTTCAGTCGACTCCTAACCGCTATCCGCCTATTCAACAACCACATGCGTTTAGATGCGATCGGCAATGAACCACACCTCCAGGTCGGGTATATAAGGACAAATACTTACTGATGACACTATTTGGAGATGGCAATAGAAATCGCTAATTAACAGCAGTTTAAATTCATGAGCCACCGGATTCTGTCTCGGTGGCAGAATGATCAACACGCTTGCCTCATATTTCAGTATATAACAACAATGGGTGAAAGGCATAATTTGTATTTAAAGTTGGCGCTTTTGTTGATTCACCTACATCTGAAAATGTATGTATGCGTAGGGTTTATTTCGTACATTTAAAACTTGTTTAACGAGAAGGGAATCGATGTAAGATTTGACTTAGAAGTGATTGATGGATCCCTCCCTGCATATCTATCCATAAAGCAGTCATTAATGATGAACAGTGACGATTATCATCAGAGGAACTTATTACTAGCGATTGTGTAGTTCATCATATGGCTGATTACTCATTATAGCCTTCTAAAAATCAGTTATAGACTGGAAAAACCGTCCAATAGTGGTTTTCAGAGCCTATGTTATATTAATTTTTTGTCGTTACGGTATCCAGAGTTGATCCTGGCCATCTCGAGATATAGGTCTTTCATATACACCAGGCTATGAGCCACACTTTTTATGTTGTCAGGGTTGATGATTCTGCTCAGTTCCTCGGGCTGAAGTAGTTGGGGTTGGATTGGAACCCGAGACCGATTGTCTGGAAACCGAGTACTTTAGCCAATAAGTCACGTCTTCACATGAAATCTGCAGCTTTTATCACTTATTTTATAGTTGAATCTTCGGTCCAATCAATCGACGGGAAAATCTAAAATTCAATTAAATAATTAATATGACCCGTTGCACAAGAGGTGGCTCTCGTGGCTCAAGTGGTCTAGTGGATAACGCTTTGGCGTTTGAAACTATGGGCACTGGGTTCGAGTCTCGGTGGGAACATCATCACTCACTGGGGAATGCAGGTACATCCAAATGACGAGTCCGAAATAAGACGAAATGCTTACTGTCCTGTATTCCACTGCTAGTCACCATCCACCAATTAAAATTCTAATTACATGCCCAGACATCGTCGAAGCATCTGCACACGAAGCCGACATGTCAACCTGAGACCGAGCACTTCGGTTCAATCAATCGACGGGAAAATCTAAAATTCCTTGGGTTCCCATTTGAATTTAGGGCTTTAGCAGCACATTTCCACTTCACCCTGTTCTTTGCAGTTCTTTTTTTAGCTGACTCCACAGTTTCCCATAAACTCTTATCTCCTGCTCACACAATCTCCTCCATATTACCCTAAAACCGACGCCCAACTCATCGTCTGATATTCAGGTTCTACTCGAGGATCCATAGTCATGAGATTTGAACATTGTAGACAAACTGCTTATCAACAGGAAAACTATTTGGCTGATACTCTAGATAGTCTATTCTGATACACAAAGCAAACTGTTCACTAAGGCTACAAGTTTCAGTCAAATAAGATGTATATATGTATACGCTAGATTACGCCGACTCCCAGCTTAAAGGTGGAAAGTGAAATAGTTAAGCGTATTGACCACGTATGCATCAGAGGACGTGTGTAGTCCGCAGTAGTTCGTTCTGTCCCCCTCTTTTCATATGAAACATGGCAATTGAGAGTGGAAGATATGATCACAGATGTTTGCGCCCTATTTCCCTGATTGCACTACAGCTTGGTGAGTAATATGAAGGTTAGACGTAATGTTAAGTAAGGACGAACAATGTTAGCTGACATAGGATTGGATCGGAAAATAGTTAGGGGTGGTCGAACTGAAACTTATTATCACTCCCTGAAGTCTTTGACTATTGGTCTTAACTATGTAAGCAGGCGCGGACTGTCTGCTTGTTGGAGTCCTCTGGATACTGAGTCAGTGGCTGTAGACTGTTGGTAATACTGCTCAAAGTCATACTCAATGACATTAAACCCTGGTTTTTCTATATTACTATTCTTTCTTCCGTACATTATAGTTCTTTTGAAGCTCTTTTTTCATTACATTTGTCTGCTACATAGGGTGTGGCAACTTGTGAAGTGCTGCACCCTTATGAGAAGTTGTGTTGATGAAACTCAGGCAGTCAGTTTGTCAAGATGTGTGCAGTATACTGGTGAACATCCAGTTCAACAAATAATGTTGCCAGGCGTCTCAAGCACTAGTGGAAAGTAGTAAATATCTATTCCTTATATTCGCAAAGTGTTAGGCTCTGTCCTATAAAACAGATGCATCGGCAGTACGCGTCCACCACCGGGGTTCGAACCCAGGACCTTCCGGTTACAAGGCAAGCTCGTATACCATTCAGCCACTGGGACCCGAGCTTGCCTTGTAACCGGAAGGTCCTGGGTTCGAACCCCGGTGGTGGATGCGTACTGCCGATGATTCCCAAACTAGGATGAAACAGCTGTCCAGTACTCCAGTGCTGGTTTTCAATGGTTCTCTAACTGATATCAATCCATGGTCAACTCGTAAAAACAAAACTAATTCTTACAAACCAAACTATAGAAGATGATTTTTTGCAATATGATACTTCAGAAACTACAATTAAGATGGTCTTATATCTTGATACTCTTGTGTGTGTCTGCGTGTGTGTTTATCGAAATTATTTTTCTCACCTGCATCTTTCACAGATTCCTGGCTACTATGTTTGGACATGTACAAGATGTTTACTTAGTCTCATGGTCAAGTGATAGTCGGCTAGTTGTATCATGTTCTAAAGACTCGACTGTTAAAGTTTGGTCGATTGCTGAAGTACGTCGTTGGAATCAAGAAGCTGCCACCGTGTCAAAACAAGAGAAAAAGAAACAATTGTTTGCTAGTGATATAGCCGGAAAAAAGAAATCCACATCAATCCATCAGCGTAAACGTCACTTGATCCATGATTTGCCTGGACATGCAGATGCAGTGTATGCATTGGATTGGAGTCCTGATGGACAGTATGTTGTCTCAGGTGGTAAGGATAGAATATTAAAAATGTAAGCCAGATATTTTCAATTATGTACTTGTGGATAACTTTATCTTCCTTTATATATATTAGTATTGTGTTTTCTGTAAATTCAAAGTTAACGTTTTTAATTTCTAACTTCACTGTTATTTCTATAACGAAACAAAATCAAAGTGACTACTAGGAAGTACTGAAGGGACATTACCATTATTTATTATTAAAATACAAACCTGATGCATTATGGTCACCAAAATATGCGTCATAAGAAATCTCATAGTTCGTTTGAGGGCTTGGATGCTGCTCCGACGCCCAGACCAAAGCAGATGGCTATATTGAGGGACCACATCCTGAGTCTCTGACTTGAAGTTTGGTCCAAAAGTCAATGGAACTGCGTTCCCATGGTGGCCGATGGTCAAATCAGGTTCATACGCCATTCGATGCGTTCGGATTCTTTAGCCCGCCTATACCATAGGTTGAGAATCATGGTTTTCCAGTTCCCCTAGGTATGCCAGCACGTCCACCAGTCCGGTTGTAAGTGCCAGACGTTTGCATTCGCCTTTTCACTTTTGTGAGGAATACCCCCGTCGCATGAAGGCAGTGAATAGGACTTACATGGGAGAGGCTGTGAATATGTGGTCATATAGGGGCACTAAAGGAATACTTCGTCGGAGTCTGGGACTCTTTGGCAGCATGCAGTACCTCAAAATTTTGATGTGAGCACGGTATTAGTCGGTCTCTCAGTCGGGCTTGTGAATTTCAACTTTTATCATTTTGCCACATTTGGTGTCACTGTCATTCAATATATTTGGAGAGGGGTAATGATGCTACCTAATTACTTAGATCGCAGTATATTTGTACAAATTTACTCCATAACCATTTAGCTAAACTTCAATAGCGTAACCAAATGAACGATAGTTCAAACACTTATTACTAATGGTAAATTTGCGGTATATTTTGGGAGATGGTATAGTTAAAATATCAGTTTTTTTTTATTAAATATATCCATTAATTGAAATAAACTTTTTAGTCTGAGCCAGTATAGAAGTAGTGACTGGATATCTTTCTTTTCTAAACAGACTTCCGGTAGTTTTAGGTGTATAGCAATAGCTTCTACTGGATGGAGTATTCGGTATCTAGAAGCTTTTGGCAATTTGTGTGGTACCGAATCGATGACAGAAAAAGAATCTTCATTAATAGCTTTATGGCCTGTTTGGACCAAGGGGTCTATTATCGAACTGTTCATGATCTTTCCACACATTTTATTTAATGGAACTGGTAGGTGTATTTGAGCATGAAAAACTAAGTTCCTAGGACAACAGAGACTATAACTGGCTCCAGAGGACCAGTTGAATTAATAGATACAAGAAGAGGTAGTTAGGCTAATACTCCATCTTTCATTTGAGGAATCCCAACCGGTTGTGTGGAGAGTGAACTGCAGCTTACAGGCATTAAAAGCGTCGGTGGCACAGCGGTAGGTTGCTCGCCAAACGTGCATATGGCTCGGGGTTCGATCTCCGGCCGACGCATTCCTTTACCTCGCTAAGTGGGTAATAAGACTGCTAAAAAGTGAAGGTTGGGCATGAGGCTAGTAACCCCATCCCGTAAAAATAAACACCACTGTCACCGAAACTTCGAGCCTCTAACTCGAAGCCCTATGTTCCACTGGGAACGTAAAGGAATAAAATGAAATTTTAAAAATGTGCAATTATTAAAAGTCCTTTAAATCGACTTTCTCTACTTGTCGGTTATTATTTTGCTTGGTGAATCACCTTTGAACTGCAGTCGTATATACAGAGTCTTCTTGTTAGCGGTCGGTCGGTCGGTTTTCGACATAGAACTTTGCACATATGTGCGGCAGTTCAAGTCGCCACACTCCTTGTAGCACACAAGGAGAGAGAAGAAAGTAGAAATGCATATTAGAGACATAAAACAGGGGTGTGAGACAAAGGAATAGTGATAACGGAGAACAAAACAGTTTAATTGGAAATCATAAGTCACAAGGAGTGGATGCATCTGCACCACTGAGAACGATTTTGAGCCATGTCACCAATTGTTTCCAACCATTGGTTTTTACCATCCCGAGGGCCCCAACCAGGAAGTCTACATCTTCCTACGTGGCTTAGATTAACTGTTGTGGATTTCATTGATTGGTGCCATGTTTTCGTTTGACCACCGCTAACTCTTTTCCAGCCTAACCGTATATCAGCTAACATTGCCCGTCGGTCGAGGAAGGCGATGACTAGGCATACGTAACACATGTCCTAACCATCTCAGTCGATGTAATTTCACAGTTTCGTCGATTGATTTCCCCGCCATACCTAACACTCGACGCCTAACCTCAATATTGCTCACCTTATTATACCACTTCACGCGGGAGATAGAACGCAGACACCTATGATCAAAGACAGCTAATCTTTTCATGTCTTCTGCTCTCAATGGCCAGGTCTCACAGCCATAAAGGAGGACGGAGCGGACTGATGAGCAGTACACACGCCCTTTGGTCGATAGTCGGATATCGCGTCTACGCCAGAGACGGAGTAAACTGGCGAATGCGAACCTAGCCCTCTGTATTCGTGCTGAAATTTCGTCTGAGATCAACCCGTTGGGGCTGATGGTACTTCCCAAGTAATTGAAGCGGTCAACGTGTTCTACCACTTCACTTCCTATTTCTAATCTAGGGGTCGATGAAGTCCAATCCTGCAGCGTCATCTTACATTTTACAGGGGCGAATCGCATGCCAAACATACGGAGATTGTTGCTCAGGGTGTTCAGTGGACTCTGCATTTTGTCAGAGTCCTCGCCTAGAAGGACTTTATCGTCCGCATATTCTAAGTCAACGAGATTCTTCCCTGGTAGCAAGTCAATCCCTGAGTCGCTGAAGTGTGATAGGGTTAAGTCCATTAGTACGTCTATGATGAAATTGAATAGGAATGGGGATAATGGGCATCCTTGACGGACGCCACTAGTCGTCACCACTTCAGATGACAACTCGCCATAAGCCCTCACTTGGCTGCATGAGTATGAGTAGAGTGCCTTAATCAGTGCAATGTATTTTCTTGGCATTCCCTTTACAGCCAAGCATCGCCAGAGAACCTCCCGGTCGACAGAATCGAATGCCGCCTTTAGGTCAAGAAATATAATGATTGTCGGACGCCGGTAGGAATGCCTATGTTCTAGAATTTGTCGGAGGGTGAAGATATAATCAATACACCCTCTTCCTGGTCTAAAGCCTGCCTGGTTTTCTCGTGTTTGTGCCTACCGAGCACCACTTAGTTTACGCAATATTATTGAGCCTAGGACATTTGGTACTATATTAGTCAAGCTAATCCCTCTGTGATTATCACAAGACGACTTGTCCCCCTTCTTGTATATCGGGATGATCAGTGACTTACACCAACCCGATGGGACTTCCTCTGATTCCCAGACGCTGCCTAGAACCTCAGTTAATGCAGACAGTAAACTGTCTCCTCCGTACTTAAATACCTCTGGAGTCAATAAATCAGGTCCCGCTGCTTTGCCTAGCTTCAGATTTGTGACAGCTTTAGTAACCTCAGTTAAGGACGGAGGACCTGTGTCTATCTCCCATTCAGGGAGGTGTTGGATGTCCGGCAGGCTAAGTGTGGATGTGGGCCAATTAAACTGCTCCTCATAGTGTTCTTTCCAGCGCTTCAGACGTCTATCCTGGGAGCTAATTATGGTGCCATTTTTCTCGGAGATTGTTTCACTTATCATTTGCCTTTTACCACCTGTTTCCCTGATAAGCCTGAATAGTTGTCTGGTGTTGCCTATCGCCGATGCTTTTTCCATCTCTTTCGCCTTTGTCAACCACCACTGTTCACGGTCCTTGCGGAGACTTTTCGTAAGTTTCTTTTTGTGCAGCTTTCGCTCCTCATTGAATTCGGAGCTCGCCGGAATAAGTCTTCTAGCATCTATCAGTTCGGATGAGGCAGTCGAAATCCAATGGTTTTTACTCGCCTTTGGATTTACCTTATTCACAGCTTTTACAGCTGTATCTATGGCTGACTGAATATTCTTCCAGGCTTCTTCAGGGTGAGCGCAGCTGTCGAACTCAGATATGTGTTTAGCTAGTTCTTCCTCAAATAGGGACTTAGTTCCCTGGTCGAGCTGGGGACGTGATGGGTTTACCGCCAGCTGTTTCCTACGTCCGTTCAGTCGTAAGCACACACGAGCGCGGACCAGTGCGTGATCGGTATCTACACACGTGTTCCAGAAGGAGCGACAATCTCCTACCGACCCACGCCAACGATAGCTCATTGCTATGTGGTCTATTTGTGTTCAGCGTTGATTTGATGATGGGGGTCGCCAGGTCAAACAGTGTCTCTCCTTGTGTTTGAAGTTAGTGCTTACAAGAAACAAATGATTATCTGAACAGAACTGTAGGAGACGGTCACCGTTGTCGGTTCGCTGGCACGGAATTCCGTATGTGCCACCGACATTCTTCTCAGATTGACACAATTTCCCTACTTGAGCATTAAAGTCACCAGCTAAAACGACTATATCTGAGCGTTTAGCCTTTCGCAGCAAACTAGACAGCTTTTGGTAGAACTCATCCTTCGTTTCATCCGAACTGCAGTCAGTGGGGGCGTAGGCGGAGATTACGAAAAGGCATCGGCGAGTAGTGCAGTCCTTTCTCCTTTTCACTGATCCGTTCAGACGGACAGCACACATTCGGCTATCTACCGGGATCCAGTCAAGTAATGTCTTCTCTGCCCTAGTACTCAGAGCTATCCCAACACCAGCTAATCCTCGAGAGCTAGCCGTCTCATCTCCTGACACCCTCAAGGTGAATTTTGCAGATTCATCCTGTTGGCCAGGTGGGGTTAGGTGAATAACCACACTTGGGTCTTGTATGCGTGTTTCTGAAACACAACATACATCAATGGCTCGGGATGCCAGAGTCTTGGCTAGTGATGCTTGTTGTCCTATTTGGTAAAGTGTCCTAACATTAAATGTTCCTATATGAAATTGGTGGCGTGGTTTTAGGAGACCATCTGTGGTGGCTTTTTGGCTTCCATCGTTATCAGTGCACACAGAGTGAAGAGGAAGTGAAGAGCCAACAAGTAGAGGAGTTGCATTGGTAGAAGGAAGGCAAGATAATAGAGATGAAGATGAAGACAAAGATGAGCGAGGATTAAAGGGGTTTCGCGTGCACTTCCGATTGTGAGGGCGATTGTTACTTCCCGGCTGCCCACACCGTGGAAGTTGGTTGCGTGACCGCAGAGCCCAGGGGACAACTGCTTGAGGCCGGTCACACGCGGCCTGCTTTTGGTTGTTCTTTTTTATTTGGTGTGTCTCAGTAGCGTATTTATCACTTCTGCCCTGTGACACGGCAGCAGGAAACGCGGTCGTTGTTAATCCGGGCCCCGACCGATCCTGCATGATATTTTGTGATTTATTTGAAATCATAGGATTGGATTGGGTAACTGCTTTTAGTCTAACTGCTATCCAAACAACCTTTCTGGCATGGTAGGACCTTCAGGAACATAAGTTCCAGCCAGTATAGCTTGTTGGGTCATTGCAGTGTTCAAGCCCGACCACCACGTCAAGGTAGCAGCTTTCGGTCGGGATTCTTGTTAGCAGACAAGAGGATTCTTCTCTACTCTATCCGTCATATGTTTCATGATAAACTTTTCTGGATAGCTATTTCGAATTAAGTGGCCATATAAAACCTTTAGTTCATGTTCAATTACATCTTCTGAAGATATAGTTCTGACCATGTATCTGAGTGTCCTTATCAAATTTCTTTTGTATTGGAGAAGAACAAAGTTATGGAAACGTGTATATCGTTCTACTAATGTACTTTTCGTATGCAAATGTATTTCTATACTTTCATCTTGTCTTTTTATAAAAATGACATCTAAGAATGTGATTTTTATTCAAGTATTAGTTTGTAGGGATTTGATTAATTGGTTACAGGATTTTATCATGAACTGATATTGGTTAGAGAACCATTGGAAAATCTGGGAGTACTGGACAGCTTTTTCGACCCAGTTTGGGACTCTTCAGCAGTACACACCCACCGGGGTTCGAACCCAGGACCTTCTGGTTACAAGGCGAGCTCGTATACCATTAAGCCACTGGGACTCGCCGATCCAATGGCCAGTTCATGAATTTCAACTTCTGCCAATTCACGATATAGCGCAACCGCTAGCCAATGTCTTCGGCGAGTATTTGTCCTCACACCCGACCTGCTGCACCCTACTGATCACGACTTCCGACTGGTTGGTAGTTACCTGGGGTTCCACCGATACATATATATATCGGTGATAAAATGTGAAATTTCTGATAAGACTGTTTAAAAGACCATTTTTTAGTTTACTTAGAAAGAAATCTGCTAATTTTGGGACTCAATAGGAGGCCTATTGCCACCTCATCCACTTGTCTATAGAGTTTGCCATCAAATTTAGAACTTAAACTCATTGTTTGGCATGTATTGCTGACAAGATTTATCAGTAGTATATATATATATATGTAAAGAGGTGTTCATCGGCATGAAACATCAAATAGCAGGGAGGTAGACTTCACGTCAGAGAAATTAAATGGTTCGGCATTGTGGAGATACACGAGAGAGAGAAAACAAAGAAACGCATTATGAAGACCAGATGTAACACAACACGGAAGATCTGTGCAAATGGTGCGTTGAAGATATGGTGCACATAATTTGGTATATAGAGATACCAAATTGCCAGGTACTCTTCTCTTACCGTTACAATGGTATACTTTGATAACAATTCCTTAAGGATTTCGTTTGGGATTCCAATATTTATTAACTTGTTATTTATTTATTCGCATATGTAGTCACCCGTTTGAAATCAGAGGTAGATTTATGAATAGAGATGTCACTTCTCTTTGTCCACTAATCAGTCATTTAAAATAAAGTTCTTAAGCTTTGTTTATTCTCATCATTTGATATACAACCGTATTTTTTTCTTTTAAATTTTTAGATGGCGCGCTTGAAAAGTTATTCAGTGAAATTGTACACACAACATTTGTTTATCTCTCTGAAGTATATTTTTGTCATCCTCAGTGGTCAGCAACGTTGAATATAATTAAATTTTTGATCTGTATAGATAATTAATATATAAAATAAAATTGTGAATAAAGATTTTTGGAAAAACTGTGGTATATTTTCTTTATATTATTGTTAGTGATATTTCTAAGTATAGTTCCGCCTCGGTGGGAACATCATCATTCACTAAGGAATGCAGGTACATCCAGATGACGAGTCCCAAATAGGATGAAATGCGCATCCTGGATTCCACTGCTAGTCACCATCCACCAGTTTGTCCCGCATAGTTTGTAATAGAGTTGTGAATCTGTCTGTGTAAAAATCTGCAGAAAGCAAGAATGACAAATGTATCAGGATAATACAATATTCCTTCGAACATTAATGGACATAATTATTGAAGAAGATGAAATTATGGCAAGTTTTAATGTGGTTTCTCTATTTACTAGTGTTCCTATATGTGATTCACTTGATATTATGAAATATGAACTTGAGAACAGTCAGGAAGTATTAACTAAATCTTTATTATCAAAATGCTTAAAACTTTGTTTAGAATCTACATATTTTACCTTTAAAGACAAACTATACTGTCAAACAAGTGGAGTTGCAATGGGCTCACCAGCATCTCCAATTGTAGCACACCTATATATGAAAGCCCTAGAAAGGAAAGCATTGACAAGTTTTAGTTGTCATCCTAGAACATAGTACAGATATGTAGATGACACATTTATCATCATAAAGAAAGCTGAAAAAGAAAACTTTCTAACAGAGATTAACTTAATCTCAGAATATATAGAGTTTACTAAAGAAGTAGAATCGGCTGAGGGAACTCTAAACTTTCGTGATTGTCTTTTAAAAAGACAAACTGACGAGAAACTAAAGTTTACCATACACGGAAAAACAACACATTCCAACAAGTATTTGAATTTCCAATCAGATTATCCAATAGGAAATAAAGTTTCAACAGCTTTAAATCTCGTTAACAGAGCTAGAAACATTATAACAGATAATGACAATATGGAGAACGAGATGTCCAATATAAAACAGATTTTGATTGGAAACGGAAAAGCTACTAGATAATATTATCAATAAAAAGGAGCATAAGGGAAAACAGAAAATTGAAAAATCTTGGCTATCGACGATAGCCATTCCATATCGAAAGGATACAGCTGAACAACTTCAAAGACTATTTGCTTCATATAATATTAAAGTCTATTTCAAGCCCTCTAATTCTCTGGAGAAAGTTTTGGTGAATGTCAAGGATATGGTTCCCAAAATGTCACAGAGTAATTGTTTCTATAGGATAAAGTGTTCAGAGTGTGAAGCATGCTATATAGGGGAAAGCGGTAGACAGGTGAAGATCAGAGTGAATGAACATAGACTAAGCACGAAACGTCCACCTAGAAATGAAGTAGAATTGAAAAGTCTGTAAAATAGATCGGCTATAGCAATGCATGCGACAGATGGCGGACATAAGATTGATTTCGACAATGTCGAAATTCTTGGAAGAAGATTTCATTCATATAAAGAAAGGTTGAACTCTGAAGCCTTGCACATTTTAACCACATCGAATGCAGTAAATATGAAATAAGGGAGAGACATATCACCTATATGGCAAACTCTAATGAAGCAAGACAGATAAAAAATCTGAGCCTCCATGACCTTTTAAAAAAAGATTGTCATGTTTGTCACATATGAATTCACGTATTTTCCATATGACAAATAACATACACACACACTCATACAAAACTAATCCTTACAAACCAACTATAGAAAAATATACACAATAACAATTTGACATTAGTCATTACAAATATAAGTGATGACTGCTGACATATTTCTATCGGTACAAATGACCTTCAAATAAACTGACTTCAATTTATGCAAAAATTGTTGACTATATATTTTGATGATCAATAAAAATCCGAATAAATCTGCTGAAGAAGCTGTGGCTTACACAGCGAAACGTTCAGAAAAATCTTGTTTTGATTTTCTTACACACACTGGGATTATTTAAAATATGATGTATCAGGTTAATATTGATAATAATTTCAAGACCCACATCATTCCGGACTTATGTTACTCTTAGTTCCTATCGATTACTGTATGTCATCGCGAATCAAATCTTTGTTATAATTTATATTTTTGTATGGTTCAAGTTGTAGCCAGTTGAGAAGAATCCCCAATATACTAAAAGATGAGCCGAATATTCTCCTGGTACATTTGTCATTCTTGATTTGCTCAAGTTTACTAATGGGAAAAAATATTATGAAGTTTTGTAAGAATTCACAGTCATATTTGTGTGTTACAACTTGCGACCCATTTGGGCTGCTACACTTACTGATGAGTGAGCTTCAACATAAAACTTTACACAGAAGTACAGTAGTTCGAGTTACAAGACTCCATGTAGCACACAAAGGTAGAGAAAAGTGATTCACAAGAAAGTGTGGGAACAAACCAGTCAAGAGCCGATTGCTCAACAAATTTGTAGGAGAAAATGGAGTTGGATTGGGCATACGCTGAGGAGACCGTCAAACGACATCGCGCGCAATGCAGGCCATCACTATAGTGGAACCTGAATGGGAAACGATGAGTGGGTCGCCTAAGGATGACACGCAGAGGACGGCTGAAAATAGAAGAAAGTGGAGTAGTGTTGTTGAAGCCTTATGTTTCACTCGGAACCCAAGGGAATAATATATAATAATATTAAGCAAAAAATAGATCATCGAGTAAGGCGGTGCTTCGGCGTAAGTTATGTGTATCCTAACCAACTTAATCCATATGACTTTGCAACCCCACCGACGACTTACTGTCTTTACCTGGTTATTCTACGCCTGACCTCGATATTGCTCACCGTATTATACCAATTTACACGTGTGATAGAACACAAACAATTGTGGTCAATGACAGCTAGTGTTTTCACATCTTCCAATTTCAATGACTATGTCTCACAGCCATAAAGGAGGATCGTGTGAACTGCTGCGCCATACTGACCACCTAGTGTGTTCATCATGAATGGATGGTAATGTATGATTTATTCACATAACAGCTGGGCATTACCCGTGGTGGTAATTGCAGTGAAGTGATCATCTGGTCAGCAGTTGGGTATCGTAGCCTAGCTGGTTGAGCTTTGAACTAGTAGTTCAGAGGCAACTGGTTCGAATCTTGGTGTGACCCAGATTTTCACTTCACCTGTAATCACATCACCCAGTACACCGATGACAGTTTACCAATACAGTGACTATCTCAGATAGTCTCACCACCAGTTATTATCTTGTCTGAGAAATGACTTCGATGCTAGTATTATATGAAAAAGGACAGTATTACTATTATTCCCTTGGGTTACGAGTAGAAAGTAGGGCTTCAACAGCACATATCCATTGCGTTCGGTTCTCTGCCAACGTTTTCACTTGGCTCCACGTCTGCACACATGCTTTCATCTCCTCTTCACATGACCTCCTGCATGTCACCCTTGGGCAACCAACTCACCGCTTACCGTTTGGGTTCCACTCGAGCGATGACCTGTCTTGTGATTTCACTTGATGGCTTTCTCAGAGTATGGCCAATCCACCCTGCATATTTGTTGTACAGTTGGTTCCTGCTGGGTTGGTTCGCTCATTGCCAGAGATCCCTCACTATTGGTGATCTTTTCTGAACGGCCATCTGATCTTGAGTATTGAGCGAAGACAGCTGTTAATGAAGGTGTGTAGTTTGTTCGAAGTGCCCTTCTTGACGCATAGTGCAAACCTCTGGTCCGTTTAGTAGCACTGACTTCACACTGAAGTTGAAAATTCGGATCTTATTTTCATGCTGAGTGCTGTTGACCTCCACACAGACTTGAGAGAAATGAATGCTTGTCTTGCTTTCCGAATCCTCGCTTTGATATCCTTGTCAGTTCCGTTTGGCTGTAGTTGAAGCGATGCTTCCAAGGTAGGTAGGTAGGTAAGTGAAGGAGGTTGCTTCTTTCAGATTTCTCCTATTTAAGCTGCCTGATTCTTGTCTGTCGTTGTTGCTGTTGCTGTTGACCAGGAATCTTCATCACCTTTGTTTTCTCTATGTTTGCGTCAATATATCGCGAGCTATTCGATAACCTGACGAGGGTAAAAGCATACTCCACTATTCGATGGCCTCCCTGACCTTGCCATTAAATAATACAAAAGGTATAAGAAACGTTTTCCATTATTCTTCAGCTTGGAGACCACATAAAGTTCAAACTGTCTAATAAATTTCCAATAGTTGACTGGCTATCCATCAAAAGAGCTAATTTCTACCTCTTGCAGCTCTAGGCCAACACTGTGACACCCCTTGAGTTTTCCTGGCAGGGTCTTGAGACTTGCTATCATCATTATGTGAGGAAACTCAATTTATATTATCCTTTAGTGTTAGCAAGCACAGTTTCTTTTCTAAGCGCTGCATTTCTGTCTAGCCTGAAACTTACGGAATTCTAATTCCTGTTTCTGTCGAAATCCATTTTAAGTTACTCCACAGTCAGATATAACATGATTATTAACTAAACTCAAAGGAGAGCCATGACATGAAAATGCGTCAAGAAGAACCTGTCATGTTTACTGCAAGTAAATCCGAGGGCGCCATACTCTCTTTATTCACGGTAGGTTTCCTAACTACATACGTTGTTCTTCTGCAATACCTACTTTCTCGGTATGTTGAGAACTGCTACGACAGGAACCGACTCGTTGCCGTCTGAACACAAGAAACCCTTTTCTGCGTCCTACCGCATAACTTACAGAACTTCCTGAGTCACGCACAATTCTGATGACAGAAAAAAGACGATTATTTGCGATAAAATCTGTGGTACTGTCTAACAACAATGACAATATATCAATACTTAAAATTCCCTCAACAATTCTATTAGGAGGCAGCTAGCCTCACAGGTCAATAGTTCCTTCAGTAAAACTACAATTGCTGTAGAACACAATTAGTTAACTGAAAA